AGAGAGAGGCCAGCTCAGCCCACCAGGGGGCAGGGCTGGCTGGCATGTGGTGCTGGGGGATTGAACCGCGGTCCCCGATGCTTTTGCTAAGCTTGTTCTAAGTAGGTGCCCTAGACCACTGAGCCATCTCTCCAGCCCAGGTCTTGGGAATTTCTGACAGCTGCTCTCTGCTTGTTTGGATTCTTTTTCAAAATTACTTTTTATTTATATTTATTTTTTCTCATTTGTGTATTTGGTACAGGGTCTCACTATGCAGATTGGACACAGTGATCCTCCTGTTTTCAGCCTCCCCAGCGCTGGGATTACAGGCTCTTGGCTCACCACCATACCCAGACTCTTGGCTCAGTGCTGCCTGGGGGTGGGGCGGGACCAGTATTGTGGCATGTGGCTTATTTTTAGTTTTTGCTTATTTTGATTCTACTCCTTTTCTTCCTGGAGGTTTTTCTACCTGGTTTCCATACCTGGGAGTGATTATTGAAGCTAAAGAAACAGACTTTAGAAATAGGGACTCAAAGCTGGAGAGATAGTGTAGCAGTTTACACATTAGGCTCTACAGCAAGAGGTCGTAGGTTTGAGTCTCAGGTCTGCCTTTACTTATTGGGGCTGGGGAGATGGCTCAGTAGAATAAGCGCTTGCCTGTCAAGTGCAAAGAAGGGCCTGAGTTCAATCCCTGGTTCGGCAAAACAAAACACAAAGACATAGGGACTCAAATCGAATCCTGCCTCTGTGTGGCAAGCTGTAAGCCCTAGTAACCGACACCTCTTGGCACAAATCATTTAACCTGCTCAACTGGTACTTAATCTTGGTGAATTTGGCCTCCCTAGGAGCACAGGATTTGCAGACAGACTTGGGTTGAGCTTGACTGTGTTGTAGCCTGTTTCTTCATCGATAAAGTATCAAATTGAGTTTAACTTGAAGGAACCACACAAAGTTGAAGATAGTGCAAGTATAAGCAATCAGTAAACATGCAGCAAATGGGAACTTAATGTTTTACTTATTGGTATTCAAGTATCTCCCCAGATAAGACAGGAAGTATTGGGCTGGGGAGGTGGCTCAGGAGGATAAGTGCTTCCCTGGCAAGTGCAAGGGTCCGCCAAAAAAAAAAAAAGAAAGAATTAGACAGGAAGTGTCTTACTGTTCTAGCCCTCTTTCAGGGCCCATTAATTGCTTATATAAAGCAGGTGGTTAGAATTTTGTTAAAAGGACGTGTACTCTGCAATAAAAGGCTTGATTCTACTGCTTAAGTAAAAATAGTAAGATAGCATTCTGGGTATATCTGAATGATACAATGCTTGCCAAGCATAAACAAAGCCAGGGTTCTACCCCTGAACCATAAAATATGATAAAGGTAATAAGAAGATAGTCATTATCATTAATTTTTTTGCAGTGATAGAGATGGCTGCCTTTCCCCTTCA